AACGTTTCATTGAAAATTATTCCATTGTTAAATTGATAAATTTAATGAATAAAAATTATTAATAGGAAAATAAGTCTATCGATTAAGTTCTTATATAACTACTAGATGTAATACTATAATTTCCGTTATGATACGTATCATACATGGACGAGTTTGCAATAAAAATATTGTATTTTCAAACGAAATCGTTTAAACAAACTTCGGGTATTTTTATTATTGACACTTCTCAAAGTATTTCTTAAGAATAGATACGCTCCCCCCCCTTTCCCCCCCCCCCGAAAAAAACTCACCCTCTCTTTTTTTCTTTTTCTTTTTTTTTTGATTTCTTTCTTTCTTTCTTTCTTTCTCCCTTTATTTCTTTTACGTACGAACCAATCCATTTTCGCGAACAAAAATCTTCTTCCTTTGATAAATAGAACGTGCACGCACACGAAAACTTGTATATCGGGATGAGATAGGTTTTAGTTTTTCCTATAGTTCGCGATCCGTTATTCCTTTTCGATTGGATGTTTATTGAACGTGATATACATCCTTATAGTGAAATGGAAACAAAATTCTAACGAATAGAAAATGATCTTTACAAAATTCTATAACGATCTAATTGTTCGTATTCTTTTCTTCGTTAATTTTTAGCAATTAAAGGTGTTACTTTCTTTTTTGTCTATACGTTAATCAAATAATTAATATTCGTCTCGAAGTAATTAATTTAAAAATTTTCATGTTAAATAATTCGAACAATATATAATAGATTATATATTTGCATTAATATCGTTAATAAATGATTACACAATGACAAATCATTCGGTTGTAACGTTTGAAATCCGAACAGCAGTTGTAAATTCTACTGGAAAATTTAATGTAAGCGAAAATCATAAGCTCAATGTCCGAGCGTTTTCGGTAAATTAATTGTCGATATATCGGTCAATTGATCAACCGTCATCATTAAATAATACATCCGTCGTTCTCGTTAAGGCCAATACACGAGAATACAGGATTTTGTGGGCATCGTTAAACCAACTGCGAGAATTCACACAAAAGGGACTGGAACAACTTTATACGAGCACCCTTCGCATTCTAATAAAACCCTATTTTCGTTCGTTAAACTCTTCATTATCTCGATGCAATTTGAGAAAAATGTTTCTACGTTTTATTTTTTTACGTTTCATTACGAAATCTCATAATATCGTGATTTTTTTAAACGTATTAACAATTATTTATTTCATATATCAGTTTCTTTAACAATATCTTAATTAGATTCAAAGACTTTTTTTCATTATTAATACTATTTTGATCCATTTTTTTCTATTTTTTTTTTTTTACAAATAATATTTCTTAATACCATTAAATATTATTTCTGTCAGAAACGTTAATTATTATACTACATATATTTAAAACTACAAATTATATATTGTCTATAATACTATAGGGAAAAGAGATACGATTAAATTAATACTTAAAAATTTCATTTATAAATAATACATTTATACACAATACGATTAAATATTTCCTTGAAATGTAAAATAAGAAAGAAAGAATATTTAATAATTGAGATCAAATTAGTTTCTTCCCCCGTTTTCTTTTCTTCTTCTTTTTCATCTAAACAAAAATAATAATAAAAAAAGAAATATAAGAAAGAAAGAAAGAAAGATAGAAAGAATAAAAAAAAAAAAAAAAAATAAATACCGAAGAAATATGTAAAAAAGAAAACGGCGAATTTCGATGGACGAAATTTCGACGTCCTTCGTGCGGACCCAATGGTCAAATGCTGTTCGTGAATTTATTTCCCCATACATTTCATCCTTTCATCGCATTTTCTATGGCAATTCTGTTCTCCCACTTCGATATCGTAATCCTCGTTCCTACGGAACAAGCAAGTAAAAATATAGAAAACCATGGAATAAAAATCGAGATCGAACGATTTTCTCGCGAGACGTACCACCACGTTGGGATAATAAAAAGAAAAATGGAGAAGAAGAAGAAGAAGAAGACGAAGACGAAGTCGAATTCAAATACTTTGAGAAATAATTTTCCGTACATTTTTCCGCAATAGTTGTGCAATAAAAGTACTATGATAAAATCAATCTTCTTCGTCTTACTTAACATCCGTCATACTATTCTATTTCTTTTCTTTTATTCATCTAGTTTTCTTTTCTTTTTTTTTTTTTGGAGGAGGAGGAAGAGGCTGGAAAGAGAAGGTTCTCCTTTTTCCATTTCTAGTCATTAAATACTATCTCGAACAAGATAGTTCTCTCGATTCCATAACTGGAGTCTTTTACCTCTCACTTACTCCTGCGTAAAAAAAAAAAACATAAAAGGTAGAAAAAGAAAGAGAAAAAAATCACCGAGCCGTTGAGTTTTTCCCTGTAACGTTAATAACGATTTCACAAGATCTATTACACAACGTAAATGTTAATGAATTTCACGAGAACAAACACGAGTGTACAAGAGTAAGAGAGACACAGAAATATATATATATATACATATATAGTCCAAGTGCATCACGAATGCGAAATCATACACACGACTACGCGAACATACGAAGAACATTATAACCTTGAGACTCTTGAAAAAGCTTAATTAGAATATTATCGTTGAGATCATCTTGAAACTAACTAATCCGTACCAGCTGAAGTAATTCCTTTGTTATCCCTTGATTTAATGCAATAACAGAATTTGTCAGCGATTTTTCGTCTAACATCCTTTCGCGCTAACAACATTAGGAGCCAAAGTATCGGCTGAATTAGACGACACATCTTGATAATGACCAGCATGTTGAGACACGCTAGAAGTGATCCAAAGAACCATGGTGCACCCATCAACAGATAAAGTCTTAGGAATAAGAAATATTTCTTGGTTAATGCGCTGCTTTGATTTTTCGTAGCAATTTCGGTGCTACGTTGGATCCTTACGATTTTGTATGTCGTGAAAATGAATAATACGTTGTTGCAGAATAAAGTTATGAGTGGTAAAGCGAAGAAATAGAGATTCACCGTTGGATTAGGTCCCAAACAATATCTAATGTAATTGGGCTTCATCGGGAAGTTCTTTGGTATTCCCGGTGTGTATTCGAAGATGGCAGCAACTGCCGTAGGTAATAATGCACCGCCCCATGCGAAAACACCGTAGATTAACAATCTCTTGTATTTGTCTTTTTCTTTGTTAGCACCGAGTCCTACGGTCCAACGGAATCTCGTGATACACAGGGTCATGTCGAAACATATAACGTTCAACCAAAAGAACGTCGCCACGGTGAAATATTGTAGGGAAAGCCAAAGTATGATTACCAGGTTATCAGCTATTGGGTACTTGCGATAACACAAATACGATAATATACAGCCCAATCCCAATAAGGATATGTTGTGTTGAAGAACGGAATAGTTGTAGATACCTTTACGTAACTCTGGTATGAACAAATATATTACTACTACGATGATGCAGATTATCATATGAGCAAGGTTCGTTGCCATATACGCTCGAGCACCCCAAAACACGAGATCCCATTTTTTAATATTATCCTCATTACATATCATCGCTGTCTCGTTATACGTTTTCATCATTGAAACAATCGAAATGTTTTCATTCATTTTGGACAACCCCGGACACCTGGCCAACACTTGTGTACCATTCATCGTAGTTCCGAGACAGTAATCGTTTGGGTAATCGACTGTCGTATAAGTCCACGAATTGTTGGCTCCGTGTTCTATCCATATAACAGCAACCATCTTGCAGGAAAGCTCATAAGTACGTATTTCCGTTCCCATTTCCTCCGAAAAATCATTATCCTCGATGATCTTAACGCAAGTCAGCTCATCGTCGAAAAGATAATCCTCTGTGCAACATTTTCTTGGCAGATCTATCTGATTATAGTCGTTCCATTTCATTAAACGTTTTACTGGTATTGCTTTTGTACTTGCAACAAAAATGAGGAAACTCGTAAGAATGAACCTGATCATATGACGTACGTGCATCTTCTTCGATACATTAACTCGCACTGACGACAATAATTAAAGAGAATAGTTTCATACAACATATATGAATCATTCCATATTCTCAGATTTTTAACCAATAGTGTGTGTTATACTGCTCGTTTATATACTTGTATATACAAATGCAGATGTAAGTGTTGTAAATGCATATACACATATACGTATATATATATATATATCGTGTAGTTAGAGGAACTCCTTGAAGAACATTTTCCTCCTATTATTCGTTTTTATTCTTCTCGCAACATTCTTGATTAAAAATAAAACTTACAATTAATATTAGTCACATTCAAGAAAAAAAATGTTTATATACAAAAAATTATAATCGATATAACCGATCATGACACCTCTTTTCTTAATTTTATCACCTTTTCGATTTAATTAATCTTTTTCTTTCTTTTTTTTTTTTGGAACACACACATAATTATTATACCATTGCATTTTTATCGATGTTAATGTTATCATTGTTTACATCATTGGTTTATTTTCTCTATTGGTCAAGCATTTGCCTTCGTAGAAGTCTGTACACTGAACGAGAGTACACTTATCTAATTGTAAATTCAAAGTACGAGTATGTATAACATTATTTAATGGTTTTTTCTTTTTTTTATCATTTTTTCCTTGACACATATAAACCGTTACGAACTTCTGTGAAAGATTTACATGTTTAATAACTAACTATCACTGATTTTATTATTGAGTTGGCAACTAAATGAGTGTGGTTACTTTAATAAAAACTTACAGGTCCCCGGGGGACCTCTCTTTCTCTCTCTTTCTTTTTATTTACCTATTTATATATCTTTCTATCTCTTTGTATAAATAAGTGCCTACATAAATATATATATATAAAGAAATTATTAAAATATATAAATTTAATATATTATAATATATATTAGGTTGACAACTACAGGCCCTGGGACTTGTGTTTTCAATAGGATTTTGTTATGAGATGCTCATTTAGTTGCCCCAACCCAATATAATATTATATAATATGATACTTTTGTTATATTTTAATTATATATATAAAAAAATATAAATTTCTTTTTAAAGAAGTCATTCGTCATTCATCGATGATCGTTCATTTAATAATCAATTTTAACGAATTATTTTTAATTGAAATAAAATTTCAAAATGAAAATAACGCATCCAAAGTATAAGATCTAGCAATGTAACGCGTCTAAAGCAAAGACATAAAAAGATATCGATTTATGTGAGGCGAGTATGTGAGTGTTTGTGTGTGCGTTTTTTTTCTCTCTCTCTCTCTCTTTTTCTCTTCGAGTTTTTCTCTCTTTTCGGTTTTCTGTAGACACTTTGAACCTTTCTGAACCGTTAAGACAGCCGGCAGGAAATGGTTTCCTCCACTCGAAGACTTCTCTAAAGCCGCCACATACGAAACAAACATTTTTCATCTACTCGAACTGCCAGTAAATCCTGAAAATTGTCTCCTCCTCTACGTACTATAATCCTGTTTGGTAAAAGAAGAAGAAAAAGAAAAGAAAAAAATCCGCTAGGAATCGAAAGATATGGATGAAAAAGCAATGGCTAACAGTAAATGTGTCTCTAAATTGACAAATAATTCGTGATTATAGTAGAACCAAAAATAAAGATAATAATAATAATAAGAAGAAGAAGAAGAAGAAGAAAGAAAAAAGTAGAGACAGTCAGACAAACGGATTGACAAATTGACCAATAATAATAATAAAAAAGGAAGAAAAAGAAAAGCATCGTAAAAAAAAAAAATAAAAAAATAAAAAAAATAGAGAGAGAGAAAGATAAGAGAGTCCGAGTCGAGAGCCAGTGATGCATGCTCGCAACGTTACAAAATATTTCCCATTCCTCGTGGACGTTTCCTGGTATTTACAACGGCTTGGCATGAAGCAAGAGCGCGGGAAATATTCTGATGTCACGAGGAAGGATAATTATTCCGTCGCACACGTCCTATCTCTCTCTCTCTCTCTTTCTCTCTCTTTCTCTCTTTCTTCTTCTTCTTTACGACCGATGGAACACAGGAATGGGTGGTGGAAAGGAGAAGAGGAAGAAGCAGCAGCAGCACGCGACATGGTCTCAAAGGTGGAGCGAATGTGTTGGAGGACACGAAAAGAGAAATGGCCACACATATAATCGCACATATACATAAACACATACCCAATCATATATACGATTACACGCACCGTTACCTTCACAATTCGTATGTATGATAATACATACAATCTCATACATAGTCATATATCTAATCATATATATATATATATATATACTATACGGTTACACGCACCGTTACCTATACAATTGTATATGCGATAACATAAATACTAATATATATACATGCGTTTATATGTGTTGTAACGATTGAAAGAGGGGAAATACTATAGAAACTGTGAACAACTTCGAAATATTTTTACTCGTGGTTCGGAAGACTCACCGACCCGTTCTCGGTATCATCTAATATATCAAAGATTTTCGCATAAATACGCGTATATACGTATATATGTTTGTATATGTATGCGTATTAACTTTACTGTACAAAATGACGAGAGTAAATGTTATTTTGAAAAGATACATAAGTAACGCGTGCCTGCTGCTGTCGCGAGTGCATTGATTTTTCATTTTCAAATCGCGTTATATTATATTATCGTATTATCGTTTAAATAAAAATTCGCTTTTTTTTTTATTTTCTTATCGCATTGTTGTCGTTTCATTCGATTTTCAAACGTACACGTTTTAACCTAGTTTTCCTCGAGGAATATAATAAATATTCGAAGAAGAATTTTCCGATGAAGAGAAGAGAGATTTATGGAAGACAACGGACAAATTGTTTGTCACCTTACGAAGATCTTTCTCTTGTTCTCGGTTTAAGGAAACTGATCGAACTCTAAAGGTAGGAGAAAAAGAAGAAGAAGAAGCAGATGAAAAGGAAGATGATGATAGGTAAACTACACTCGATCCTCTTGACGTCCTTCGTCTTAGTCGAAATCATCCTAAGTTTCACGATTGTTGTAAGCGAAGCTACTACTACGATCGAAGTAAATTGTGGAAGATGCTGCATTTTAGAATCGAAAGAAAAAGAAGATAGAGAAAGGGATACGAGATGGTGTACCACTTCACACGACGACTACGACGGCAATGCAAATCGCACTCTCTCGTTTATCGAAGGTACCTATATACGTCAATTTAGTCTTTTATTTTTCATTCTTACTCTCTCTCTCTCTCTGACAACAACTTCTTTATTCCTTTATATTATTATTACATCTATCTCCCACAAAACCCCACGTAGTTTCTCTTTTCTTTCTTGTTTTTCTTCGTGATTTCTATTTTCATCGAAAAACTTCTTTTTCTTCTTTTTCTTCTTCTTCTTCTTCGAGAACCGAGAAAACGGCCTTTGACTCACAACGAAAACGACCAATTTATTCTGAAAACATCTTACGGTTGTTAACACTTTTATAGCTCTTTCTAATTTAATTTATATCTTTTTTATTACTCCATATATATATATATATATATATATATATATGTGTATATAATATTTCTGCTCGTATTTTTCTTCTTCTTCTTCTTCTTCTTGACATATTAAAACTACAGACAGAAAATCATTTATGTTAGTTAAAACGCGATCAAATTTTATCTAGATGTAAAAGTTTGCTAATGGGGGGTATCTATTAAGTTAACCATTTTTTCTATTTTATGCTTACGAGATCGAACATTATCAAGAACAATAAATAATAATCATAGATTTAGTTTGACCATGTTAAAAGAATTTTAATACTATGCATAATTATCAAAAATCGATACTTTTCTATCAATAAAAATCTGTACACGAAATTTATTTCTTTTTTTTTTCATTTCCTATGATTTATATCTTGTAAATTTTTAACGTCGAGATTAATTACTATTATTAATTATAAGGTAAAATTTAAGCGAATAAAAATTGATTAATTCGTATCCATCAAATACAATGATACCCCAGACGATATAATTTTTTTTTTCAACAGGAATCTCTCGGTACATAGAGGAACGACTAATTAAATTTTTACGAGCTCATAAAAATATATGACGATAGGTATGATGTGTAGGCAAAATATTGTGATAAAGCAGAAATATTCCATGATAATTCTTACGTAATTGGTTATTTTTAATAGTTGATAAACGTATTCGAGGAAAAAGAATGGTTTCGATACACTCAAAACTCTTATGTTTTCTTCAAGTTTATACAAATTTACATATGAATAATACTTTTTTATTTTTTTTTTTTCAAATAAAATAAACATATCATTTTAACACATAATATGTACTCAAACAACTACGTAATCGTGTAGAAATAAATCTTTGTACTTAATTATCCGAACAAAGAAAAAAAACATTCTCGAGAAATTAATGAGATTTAAAAAAAATCTACCTTTTTGTTTTGTATTCATTGTCTTTATTTAATCTTTCTCGCGAGACATAATAAAAGCTTATAAAAGGAAATGCTGGGCAGCAAATGAACTAGGTATAAAAATAAATTAAAACTCGACGTGAAATCCTCTCTCTCTCTCTCTCTCTCTCTCTCTCTCTCTCTCTCTCTTTACTATTGAATATTTAAATAACATTACACCTTTTTCTTTTTCTTTTTTCTTCTTTACAACCGTCCGCAGAAAAATTTCGTCGGATTTATATTATGATATTTAAAATATAAATAGGATCAAAAATAAGAATCCTATCGTGAGTTGGGTTAAATAGATACAATTACTTGTCCAGTACTTGATACTTTGAAACGAGAATTGATCGATAAAAAAAAAAAGAAAAAAGAAAATAGAAAGCAATAATAATGACGTGTAATTTGTATATAAATGATAGACAAGTTTCTAATTTCCTTTCCATCAGTTACTCAAGCTAACATCCATTTCACGTTCGATTTCAACGCCGGAATAGAATCTCAATCGACCGTTAGGGTTTACATCTCGAACGGTTGATTTTCTCGCGTTGGGATTTTTCTAACGAGCACGAAGCACGAACAACGGGGGTGCACCACCAAGTGAAGTAGTACAGTATACACCATCGAAGCATCGACGGGTTGCGTTCCACCACGGGAGTGTTGGAGGAAACTTCGAAAACGGCAGTTTCGATCGAGCGAAATCACGACCGAACCAACGAACGTTGGAACGAACGTTGGAACGAACGAACGAACGATTAAACGTTCCCATATGGAATTTCAATCGGCTGGAACACGAGGATCGGACAAAACAATCGTTCCTTGTGTTCTTGATATATATATATGTATATGTGTGTGTGTATATATATATGAGAAAGAGGAACGCAGGGAGTCCCGGCCAAATTATCCAAACAGAGAGCGCGCGGCTCACCCTTTGGGATCGATACCGTGCGCGCGCGCGCGCTCCTACACACACTGCTATTTAACCATCCAACTTACTCTCTCTCTCTCTCTCTCTCTCTCTATCACCAACATGTATTTTATGTTTTCAGATAATTCCGAAACGACGAGTACCACGGTGGACTCATGGGTATGCTTCGATGCTTGTTTCGAGTATCGGCCAAACAATAGTTTTGTCATTCTCCAAAGGTTTCCCAATCGCAACGAATCTTTTAACGTTAGCTCAATGATACCGGGAATAATCGAAAACAATAATGAAAATTTATGCCAAGTTATTAATGAGAAAAATGAAAATAAACGAAACGATACCGATAATAAAGATATCGGAAAAACTTGTCAAAGTATTTTAACACCTTTGAGCTATTGGGGTGCCAACATGGTTGTATTCGCTAACGTGATCTACATCATACCGTATCTTATCGTTGTCTTGATTTATTCTACAGTATCCGGGCTACGTAAACGAGCTTACGACAGGGCCGTACTCTGTTACAACATTTTCCAAATCGTCTTAAACTCTATACTGATCGCCATAGGGTTGTCCTTACTCTGTCGTGTCAGCCTGCATTTCTCGGTGTATACCCTGTCCTGCTTGGCCCTGATGTTTCTATCGATATCTTCCACAGTCTGGCTCTTCGTCATTTGCATCGACATGACCCTGGTCATCACCAGATTCCGTTGGACGCCACCATCCGATCCCAAACAGTACAGGACTCAAGAAAGACGAAAGTTCTTGATATACTCTGCTTGGGTTTGGGGTATTTCCTTCGTACCCACGGCTATTGCTTCCATCGTTGAACTATCACCGTTAGTACCAAATAGTTCACCATTCAAACCGAATTTTCATAACTTTTCTAACGGTCCAAATATTGCTGTTATTGTATACGTCGCTACTATACCTATTATTATTTGTCTTATGAACAGCATGCTATTCGTTTATACCACTTACAAGATAATCACAATAAGAAAGTCAACTGCTATCGCTAGTAATACCACAACGAAGGCAAATGAATCCTATTTTATGTTTCTCAAACTTTACTTTCTGATGGATGCACCATGGATTACCAGTGCTCTTGGTGCCATTTATACCGAATTATGGTTGCTTAAGTTTTTTCGAATGATTCAACCGATCTTGATGCTGATCGTTATCCTGCCAAAAAATTCCATTAAGAATAGTTTTCGTAGGTGTTATCTTTTTAAATCAAAATCTATTACCGTTGACGAGGAAAATGTGGAAGTTAAGAAGTGTTGTTTTTCTTGTTTTGTAAAATAATCCACAACGTGTTTTTTCATTCATCGACAAATGAACTATAAGACTGTATTAATTAATTGTAAATAATAACTCCAGTGATTTCCATTCGTCTCTAACGTTATTACTAAATATCATATTATTTCACAATAATTAGATTAATAAAAAAAAGAATCTCCTCTTAATATATACCGCGAATTTTATTATTCAAATACAATAATGACTTTTTCTATTAGGTAATAATTATCCCAATAACACGCAACAACGAATTTTGCTTGGATCGTTTATTAACACGATTAACACGGACGAACGATGATGATTCATTTCGTTACGAATCCTTGTTTACTAAAGATAACAAAACGCAATTAAATTGATTACACCGGTGAATAATATCATTGCAATTATTTCCCGGACAATATGCTACATTAATTACATAAAGATGAATTATAAGTTATACTAGTTATACAATTTGTTAAATATTTATCATAAAAGACTGACATTTACTAATCCGATCCAGTTCGTGAATATAATTTGATCATCATTAATAGTGGAATGATACAAACGTAATTTCTCTATAATACATATATATATATATACATACATAAATAGATGTGTACGAAAGATCGATTCGTAGAATAAAATGTAATACACATACCTACATATGATTAACGATTAAATTTTCCGCATCGATTGTAACAACGAAGAAGAATAAATTTATCGAAGATATATATAAGTATATATATATATATATATAATACATACATATAAAACATTTTTATTTCTTTACACGACTTTTCCTATCATTTATCATGTTCTCAACGGAAGCAAAAAGGATCGTTGTCGAATCGGAACGAACGAATGAACGAATAACGTACATGATAACGAATGATCGTTTAATGCGATAAATGATACACGATGATTAAAATAAGATTAAGGTAATTATAAAGAATCGTTCGTTTAGAGTGATGGAACGCAACGTTCCGCAACGTGTTACACGGGCGAGTGCGTTGAAACACGAGGGAAGGGACTGACTATTAAACGTTCGCGGTCAGTGCGGTCGTTGCAGTTACCATAGAAGAGAAGTGCAACCGACTTACTACTACTCTCAACGACTCCTCCTTAACGCCACTTTGAGTCTCGCTAGTTTCTAAAATCATACTAAACCTAGTTGAGAAAAGAAACGAGACAAAAACAAGACAAATAGGAACGTTGCTTCTAAACTCATTTAATTTTTTTATTTTTATTTTTCTATACAAAAAATATTTATATAGATATATGTGTAATGCTATAAAAAGTCATACAAAATGTATATATTATATTATTTCATTTATTAAATAAAAAGAAAATAATTTGTTCCTC